CCTACTTGCCTATTGGCCTATTGGCCTATTGGCCTTCGCCTATTCGCCTATTCGCCTATTCGCCTACTGGCCTACTGGCCTACTGGCCTACTGGCCTACAGGCCTACTGGCCTACTGGCCTACTGGCCTACTGGCCTACTGGCCTACTGGCCTACTGGCCTACTGGCCTACTGGCCTACTGGCCTACTGGCCTACTGGCCTACTCGCCTACTGGCCTACTCGCCTACTGGCCTACTGGCCTACTGGCCTACTGGCGTACTGGCGTACTGGCCTACTGGCCTACTGGCCTACTGGCCTACTGGCCTACTGGCCTACTGGCCTACTGGCCTACTGGCCTACTGGCCTACTGGCCTGCTGGCCTACTGGCCTACTGGCCTACTGGCCTACTGGCCTACTGGCCTACTGGCCTACTGGCCTACTGGCCTTCTGGCCTACTGGCCTACTGGCCTACTGGCCTACTGGCCTACTGGCCTACTGGCCTACTGGCCTACTGGCCTACTGGCCTACTGGCCTACTGGCCTACTGGCCTACTGGCCTACTGGCCTACTGGCCTACTGGCCTTCTGGCCTGGCCTACTGGCCTATTGGCCTACTGGCCTACTGGCCTACTGGCCTACTGGCCTACTGGCCTACTGGCCTACTGGCCTACTCGCCTACTCGCCTACTCGCCTACTCGCCTACTCGCCTACTCGCCTACTCGCCTACTCGCCTACTCGCCTACTCGCCTACTCGCCTATTCGCCTGCTGGCCTCCTGGCCTACTGGCCTACTGGCCTACTGGCCTACTGGCCTACTGGCATACTGGCCTACTGGCCTACTGGCCTATTGGCCTACTGGCCTACTGGCCTACTGGCCTATTGACCTTCTGGCCTATTGGCCTATTCGCCTATTGGCCTATTGGCCTATTGGCCTATTGGCCTATTGGCCTTCGCCAAATCCCCTACTCGCCTATTCGCCTATTCGCCTATTCGCCTATTCGCCTTGTGGCCTACTGGCCTACTGGCCTACTGGCCTACTGGCCTACTGGCCTACTGGCCTACTGGCCTACTGGCCTACTGGCCTACTGGCCTGCTGGCCTACTGGCCTACTGGCCTACTGGCCTACTGGCCTACTGGCCTACTGGCCTATTGGCCTATTGGCCTATTGGCCTATTGGCCTATTGGCCTATTGGCCTATTGGCCTATTGGCCTATTGGCCTATTGGCCTATTGGCCTTCGCCAAATCCCCTATTCGCCTATTCGCCTATTCGCCTTGTGGCCTACTGGCCTACTGGCCTACTGGCCTACTCGCCTACTGGCCTACTGGCCTACTGGCCTACTGGCCTACTGGCCTACTGGCCTACTGGCCTACTGGCCTACTGGCCTATTGGCCTATTGGCCTTCGCCTATTCGCCTATTCGCCTACTGGCCTACTGGCCTACTGGCCTACTGGCCTACTGGCCTACTGGCCTACTGGCCTACTGGCCTACTGGCCTACTGGCCTACTGGCCTACTGGCCTATTGGCCTATTGGCCTATTGGCCTTCGCCTATTCGCCTATTCGCCTACTGGCCTACTGGCCTACTGGCCTACTGGCCTACTGGCCTACTGGCCTACTGGCCTACTGGCCTACTGGCCTACTGGCCTACTGGGCTACTGGGCTACTGGCCTACTGGCCTACTGGCCTACTGGCCTACTGGCCTACTGGCCTACTGGCCTACTGGCCTATTGGCCTATTGGCCTTCGCCTATTCGCCTATTCGCCTACTGGCCTACTGGCCTACTGGCCTACTGGCCTACTGGCCTACTGGCCTACTGGCCTACTGGCCTACTGGCCTACTGGCCTACTGGCCTACTGGCCTATTGGCCTATTGGCCTATTGGCCTATTGGCCTATTGGCCTTCGCCTATTCGCCTATTCGCCTATTCGCCTAGTCGCCTACTGGCCTACTGGCCTACTGGCCTACTGGCCTACTGGCCTACTGGCCTACTGGCCTACTGGCCTACTGGCCTACTGGCCTATTGGCCTATTGGCCTATTGGCCTTCGCCTATTCGCCATTCGCCTACTGGCCTACTGGCCTACTGGCCTACTGGCCTACTGGCCTACTGGCCTACTGGCCTACTGGCCTACTGGCCTACTGGCCTACTGGCCTACTGGCCTACTGGCCTATTGGCCTACTGGCCTACTGGCCTACTGGCCTACTGGCCTACTGGCCTACTGGCCTACTGGCCTACTGGCCTACTGGCCTACTGGCCTACGGGCCTACTGGCCTACTGGCCTACTGGCCTACTGGCCTACTGGCCTACCGGCTTACTGGCCTACCGGCCTACTCGCCTACTCGCCTACCGGCCTACTCGCCTACCGGCCTACTGGCCTACTGGCCTACTGGCCTACTGGCCTACTGGCCTACTGGCCTACTGGCCTACTGGCCTACTAGCCTACTGGCCTACTGCACCCTCCCTAAAGTCACTCGAATTGGGTCGTACCTTTATCTCACCCCTCCTCCCGCCACCCACCCCTCGTTATAGGCACCAGTGTTAGATCACATCAACCTGACCATCCAACCCGGCGAGCTGGTGGCACTGGTGGGTCTGAGTGGCAGCGGCAAGAGCACCCTCGTGGGGCTGCTGCAGCGACTCTACGAGCCCACAGAGGGGCAGGTGAGAGGGTGTAGAGGGGTTGAGATATCGATGCCTGAGTGAATGGCAGCGGCAAGAGCACTCTAGTGGGGCTGCTGCATCGACTCTACGAGCCCACAGAGGGGCAGGTGAGAGGGTGTAGAGGGGTTGAGATATCGATGCCTGAGTGAATGGCAGCGGCAAGAGCACTCTAGTGGGGCTGCTGCATCGACTCTACGAGCCCACCGAGGGGCAGGTGAGAGGAGTGGGTGAGAGAAACAGCGCCTCTACGCCTCTTGCATGTGCTCCGCTCTGCAATGTTGATGGGTCTCGTTCATGGCTTCGTTCTGTCTGCGTGTTCACAGGTTCTTATAGACGACGTGCCTCTACCGGAGATTGACATCGCTTGGCTGAGAAGCCACATTGGGGTCGTCAGCCAGGTCAGCTCGCCTCTACCCCACTCTCATTTTACTCGCCCCCCATGCTCCTTGTACCTTTCCCTGCTTACCTTTAGTTTTCACTTCCAATTCTCCCACTTTCTTCCTCCTATCGCTCCGAAGGCATTTTCTTCATGCAAAGTCAATCACCCCTAAGCAATCAACAAGCATGCTCACTCTACACACTACCCACTCCGCGTTGCATGTGAATGATGCGCAGATTGAACAAGACCCATCTTTCCACCACTTATACCATATCTTGCACTCCACTCACCACTCCTCCATTCCCCATTCCCCATTCCCCACTCCCCATTCCCCGCTCCCCATTCCCCACTCCCCATTCCCCATTCCCCATTCCCCACTCCCCATTCCCCACTCCCCATTTCCCACTCCCCACTCCCCACTCCCCATTCCCCACTCCCCACTCCCCATTCCCCACTCCCCACTCCCCACTCCCCATTCCCCACTCCCCACTCCCCATTCCCCACTCCCCACTCCCCATTCCCCACTCCCCATTCCCCACTCCCCACTCCCCACTCCCCATTCCCCACTCCCCACTCCCCATTCCCCACTCCCCACTCCCCATTCCCCATTCCCCACTCCCCATTCCCCACTCCCCACTCCCCATTCCCCATTCCCCATTCCCAATTCCCCATTCCCCATTCCCGACTCTCTACTCCTCCCCCCACACGGCTCCACCAGGAACCCCGTCTCTTCAGCACAGACGTTGCTTCCAACATCGCTTACGGAAGCAGGGAGGAAATTTCTCAAGAGCAAATCACCAGAGCAGCAACACAGGCCAACGTCCATCAATTTGTTTCCGGGCTGCCCGAGGGCTATGACACAGTGGTGGACAACGCCCGGCTAAGCGGCGGCAGAAGCAAAGAATAGCGATTGCCCGGGCTTTAGTGCGCGACCCAACCCTGCTGATTTTGGATGAGGCGACAAGTGCTCTGGATGCTGAGAGTGAGCACTACGTGCAGGTGAGGTGGGGGAAGATGGAGAGCATGGTACGGGGTGGGGAGAGTGAGCGAGTCGCTGATTCTGGCTGTGCGGAAGTGGGAGGGCGTGGAGGGCACGCAGCTTGAGTGTGTTCGATTCCCCATCCGTTGCTCACCCTGTTTGTCAAATATATGGTTATGATTCCAATACTTGCCTTTCTTGCTGTGTGTTCCTGCAGATGGCACTGGACCAGGCCATGCATAAGGATTCGACAATTGGAAGGAGAAAAAGGACCATCATTGTGATCGCCCATCGGTATGCTGGAATTCCCTGCTCATTCCAACTGCACCCCTTGTCATGGTATTTGCGAATTGTCACAGCACCCTTGCTTACCCTTCTAAGTGACATTTTGCGCCCCCCCCGTCCCCCGCAATGCCAGGTTCTCCACAATCCGTTCCGCAGATAGAATAGTGGTTATGTCCGCAGGCAAAATTGTCGAGGTGAGCAGCTGGTCCTTTTTAAAAGTATGTGTATGCATACATATGCAGAGTCTTCCATATTTATTACGACCTCACGCATGATGTTTCTCTTTCAGGCTGGCACGCATCAGCAGCTGATGGACAGGAAAGGGGAGTACATGAGACTGCATATGCGCCAAATAGAAGCCCTAGCCTGATTATTGTACAAGTATAATATGAGAATTGTGGTAGGGGTTACCTACTGAGGCTTGTACTAACCCGCTTCTGCAATAAAGGTTCAATTCAATAAGGCTGTTCGCACAGTCACCGGCTTGACCCCACGAGTGAGACAAATTTACCCACCAACCTCACTCCTGTCCCATGCGAAACAAGTGTGCGATTTTCGTCGCCAACGGTCGTCCAACGTTCGCAACGGTTGTTACTGTTGCTAATGACTCTGTATGGTGCCTGCACCTGCCCGCTGATACAGCTTGCTCCTGCTCTGCTGTATCAGTGGCTTTCGTCGAGTTACCATGTGTATCCAGCTTGGAAGTCATGAGTTTCAACCAACTAGCGTTCCGCCTTCCTTGGGAAAGTTTTGCTGGCGGGCTGTGCACAGGTAAACAGCAGGACTTCAACATTAGCCGCTGCGGTAGGGAAGGACGGGGAGGAAGGGAGGGAAGGGGTGAAAGGGAAAAAAGGGGAAAACGGGGAGGAAGGGAGAATGGGGCGGGGTGATGGAAAGCGGGAGAATGGGGCGGGGTGATGGAAAGCGGGAGAATGGGGCGGGGTGATGGAAGGAGGTAGAATGGGGCGGGGTGATGGAAGGAGGGAGAATGGGGCGGGGTGATGGATAGGGGGAGAATGGGGCGGGGTGATGGAAAGCAGGAGAATGGGGCGGGGAGATGGAAAGCGGGACAATGGGGCGGGGTGATGGAAAGCGGGAGAATGGGGCGGGGTGATGGAAAGCGGGAGTATGGGGCGGGGTGATGGAAAACGGGAGAATGAGGCGGGGTGATGGAAAGCGGGAGAATGGGGCGGGGTGATGGAAAGCGGGAGAATGGGGCGGGGTGATGGAAAGCGAGAGAATGGGGCGGGGTGATGGAAAGCGGGAGAATGGGGCGGGGTGATGGAAGGAAAGGGAATGGGGCGGGGTGATGGAAAGCGGGAGAATGGGGCGGGGTGATGGAAAGCGGGAGAATAGGGCGGGGTGATGGAAAGCGGGAGAATGGGGCGGGGGTGATGGAAGAAGGGAGAATGGGGCGAGGTGATGGAAGGAGGGAGAATGGGGCGGGGTGATGGAAAGTGGGAGAATGGGGCGGGGTGATGGAAAGCGGGAGAATGGGGCGGGGTGATGGAAAGTGGGAGAATGGGGCGGGGTGAAGGAAAGCGGGAGAATGGGGTGGGGTGATGGAAAGCGGGAAAATGGGGCGGGGTGATGGAAAGCGGGAGAATGGGGCGGGGTGATGGAAAGCGGGAGAACGGGGCGGGGTGATGGAAAGCGGGAGAATGGAGCGGGGTGATGGAGGGAGGGAGAATGGGGCGGGGTGATGGAAGGAGGGAGAATGGGGCGGGGTGATGGAAAGCGGGAGAATGGGGCGGGGTGATGGAAAGCGGGAGAATGGGGCGGGGTGATGGAAAGCGGGAGAATGGGGCGGGGTGATGGAAAGCGGGAGAACGGGGCGGGGTGATGGAAAGCGGGAGAATGGAGCGGGGTGATGGAAAGTGGGAGAATGGGGCGGGGTGATGGAAAGCAGGAGAATGGGGCGGGGTGATGGAAAGGGGGAGTATGGGGCGGGGTGATGGAAAGCGGGAGAATGGGGCCGGGTGATGGAAAGCGGGAGAATGGGGCGGGGTGATGGAAAACGGGAGAACGGGACGGGGTGATGGAAAGCGGGAGAATGGGGCGGGGTGATGGAAAGCGGGAGAATGGGGCGGGGTGATGGAAGGAGGGAGAATGGGGCGGGGTGATTGAAGGAGGGAGAATGGGGCGGGGTGATGGAAAGCAGGAGAATGGGGCGGGGTGATGGAAAGCGGGAGAATGGGGCGGGGTGATGGAAAGCAGGAGATTGGGGCGGGGTGATGGAAAGCGGGAGAATGGGGCGGGGTGATGGAAAGCGGGATAATGCGGCTGGGTGATGGAAAGCGGGAGAATGGGGCGGGGTGATGGAAAGCGGGAGAATGGGGCAGGGTGATGGAAAGCGGGAGAATGGGGCGGGGTGATTGAAGGAGGGGGAATGGGGTGGGGTGATGGAAAGCGGGAGAATGGGGCGGGGTGATGGAAAGCGGGAGAACGGGGCGGGGTGATGGAAAGCGGGAGAATGGAGCAGGGTGATGGAAAATGGGAGAATGGGGCGGGGTGATGGAAAGCGGGAGAATGGGGCGGGGTGATGGAAAGCAGGAGTATGGGGCAGGGTGATGGAAAGCGGGAGAATGGGGCCGGGTGATGGAAAGCGGGAGAATGGGTTGGGGTGATGGAAAGCGGGAGAATGGGGCGGGGTGATGGAAAGCGGGAGAATGGGGCGGGGTGATGGAAAGCGGGAGAATGGGGCGGGGTGATGGAAAGCGGGAGAATGGGGCGGGGTGATTGAAGGAGGGGGAATGGGGCGGGGTGATGGAAAGCGGGAGAATGGGGCGGGGTGATGGAAAGCAGGAGAATGGGGCGGGGTGATGGAAAGCGGGAGAATGGGGCAGGGTGATGGAAAGCGGGAGAATGGGGCGGGGTGATGGAAAGCGGGAGAATGGGGCGGGGTGATGGAAAGCGGGAGAATGGGGCGGGGTGATGGAAAGCGGGAGAATGGGGCGGGGTGATGGAAAGCGGGAGAATGGGGCGGGGTGATGGAAAGCGGGAGAATGGGGCGGGGTGATGGAAAGGGGGAGAATGGGGCGGAGTGATGGAAAGCGGGAGAATGGGGCGGGGTGATGGAAAGCGGGAGAATGGGGCGGGGTGATGGAAAGCGGGAGAATGGGGCGGGGTGATGGAAAGCGGGAGAATGGGGCGGGGTGATGGAAAGCGGGAGAATGGGGCGGGGTGATGGAAAGCGGGAGAATGGGGCGGGGTGATGGAAAGGGGGAGAATGGGGCGGAGTGATGGAAAGCGGGAGAATGGGGCGGGGTGATGGAAAGCGGGAGAATGGGGCGGGGTGATGGAAAGCGGGAGAATGGGGCGGGGTGATGGAAAGCGGGAGAATGGGGCGGAGTGATGGAAAGTGGGAGAATGGGGTGGGGTGATGGAAAGCGGGAGAATGGGGCGGGGTGATGGAAAGCGGGAGAATGGGGCGGGGTGATGGAAAGCGGGAGAATGGGGCGGGGTGACGGAAAGTGGGAGAATGGGGCGGGGTGATGGAAAGCGGGAGAATGGGGTGGGATGATGGAAGGAGGGGGAATGGGGCGGGGTGATGGAAAGCGGGAGAATGGGGCGGGGTGATGGAAAGCGGGAGAATGGGGCGGGGTGATGGAAAGCGGGAGAATGGGGCGGGGTGATGGAAAGCGGGAGAATGGGGCGGGGTGATGGAAGGAGGGAGAATGGGGCGGGGTGATTGAAGGAGGGAGAATGGGGCGGGGTGATGGAAAGCAGGAGAATGGGGCGGGGTGATGGAAAGCGGGAGAATGGGGCGGGGTGATGGAAAGCGGGAGAATGAGGCGGGGTGATGGAAGAAGGGAGAATGGGGCGGGGCGATGGAAAGCGGGAGAATGGGGCAAAGTGATGGAAAGCGGGAGAATGGGGCGAGGTGATGGAAAGCGGGAGAATGGGGCGGGGTGATGGAAAACGGGAGAATGGGGCGGGGTGATGGAAAGCGGGAGAACGGGGCGGGGTGATGGAAAGCGGGAGAATGGGGCGGGGTGATGGAAAGCGGGAGAATGGGGCGGGGTGATGGAAAGCGGGAGAATGGGGCGGGGTGATGGAAGGAGGGAGAATGGGGCGGGGTGATTGAAGGAGGGAGAATGGGGCGGGGTGATGGAAAGCAGGAGAATGGGGCGGGGTGATGGAAAGCGGGAGAATGAGGCGGGGTGATGGAAGGAGGGAGAATGGGGCGGGGCGATGGAAAGCGGGAGAATGGGCCAAGGTGATGGAAAGCGGGAGAATGGGGCGGGGTGATGGAAAGCGGGAGAACGGGGCGGGGTGATGGAAAGCGGGAGAATGGAGCAGGGTGATGGAAAATGGGAGAATGGGGCGGGGTGATGGAAAGCGGGAGAATGGGGCGGGGTGATGGAAAGCAGGAGTATGGGGCAGGGTGATGGAAAGCGGGAGAATGGGGCCGGGTGATGGAAAGCGGGAGAATGGGTTGGGGTGATGGAAAGCGGGAGAATGGGGCGGGGTGATGGAAAGCGGGAGAATGGGGCGGGGTGATGGAAAGCGGGAGAATGGGGCGGGGTGATGGAAAGCGGGAGAATGGGGCGGGGTGATTGAAGGAGGGGGAATGGGGCGGGGTGATGGAAAGCGGGAGAATGGGGCGGGGTGATGGAAAGCAGGAGAATGGGGCGGGGTGATGGAAAGCGGGAGAATGGGGCAGGGTGATGGAAAGCGGGAGAATGGGGCGGGGTGATGGAAAGCGGGAGAATGGGGCGGGGTGATGGAAAGCGGGAGAATGGGGCGGGGTGATGGAAAGCGGGAGAATGGGGCGGGGTGATGGAAAGCGGGAGAATGGGGCGGGGTGATGGAAAGCGGGAGAATGGGGCGGGGTGATGGAAAGGGGGAGAATGGGGCGGAGTGATGGAAAGCGGGAGAATGGGGCGGGGTGATGGAAACCGGGAGAATGGGGCGGGGTGATGGAAAGCGGGAGAATGGGGCGGGGTGATGGAAAGCGGGAGAATGGGGCGGAGTGATGGAAAGTGGGAGAATGGGGTGGGGTGATGGAAAGCGGGAGAATGGGGCGGGGTGATGGAAAGCGGGAGAATGGGGCGGGGTGATGGAAAGCGGGAGAATGGGGCGGGGTGACGGAAAGTGGGAGAATGGGGCGGGGTGATGGAAAGCGGGAGAATGGGGTGGGATGATGGAAGGAGGGGGAATGGGGCGGGGTGATGGAAAGCGGGAGAATGGGGCGGGGTGATGGAAAGTGGGAGAATGGGGCGGGGTGATGGAAAGCGGGAGAATGGGGCGGGGTGATGGAAAGCGGGAGAATGGGGCGGGGTGATGGAAGGAGGGAGAATGGGGCGGGGTGATTGAAGGAGGGAGAATGGGGCGGGGTGATGGAAAGCAGGAGAATGGGGCGGGGTGATGGAAAGCGGGAGAATGAGGCGGGGTGATGGAAGGAGGGAGAATGGGGCGGGGCGATGGAAAGCGGGAGAATGGGCCAAGGTGATGGAAAGCGGGAGAATGGGGCGGGGTGATGGAAAGCGGGAGAATGGGGCGGGGTGATGGAAAACAGGAGAATGGGGCGGGGTGATGGAAGGAGGGAGAATGGGGCGGGGTGATTGAAGGAGGGAGAATTGTGCGGGGTGATGGAAAGCAGGAGAATGGGGCGGGGTGATGGAAAGCGGGAGAATGGGGCGGGGTGATTGAAAGCGGGATAATGCGGCTGGGTGATGGAAAGCGGGAGAATGGGGCGGGGTGATGGAAAGCGGGAGAATGGGGCGGGGTGATGGAAAGCGGGAGAATGGGGCGGGGTGATTGAAGGAGGGGGAATGGGGTGGGGTGATGGAAAGCGGGAGAATGGGGCGGGGTGATGGAAAGCGGGAGAACGGGGCGGGGTGATGGAACGCGGGAGAATGGAGCAGGGTGATGGAAAATGGGAGAATGGGGCGGGGTGATGGAAAGCGGGAGAATGGGGCGGGGTGATGGAAAGCAGGAGTATGGGGCAGGGTGATGGAAAGCGGGAGAATGGGGCCGGTTGATGGAAAGCGGGAGAATGGGTTGGGGTGATGGAAAGCGGGAGAATGGGGCGGGGTGATGGAAAGCGGGAGAATGGGGCGGGGTGATGGAAAGCGGGAGAATGGGGCGGGGTGATTGAAGGAGGGGGAATGGGGTGGGGTGATGGAAAGCGGGAGAATGGGGCGGGGTGATGGAAAGCGGGAGAACGGGGCGGGGTGATGGAACGCGGGAGAATGGAGCAGGGTGATGGAAAATGGGAGAATGGGGCGGGGTGATGGAAAGCGGGAGAATGGGGCGGGGTGATGGAAAGCAGGAGTATGGGGCAGGGTGATGGAAAGCGGGAGAATGGGGCCGGTTGATGGAAAGCGGGAGAATGGGTTGGGGTGATGGAAAGCGGGAGAATGGGGCGGGGTGATGGAAAGCGGGAGAATGGGGCGGGGTGATGGAAAGCGGGAGAATGGGGCGGGGTGATGGAAAGCGGGAGAATGGGGCGGGGTGATTGAAGGAGGGGGAATGGGGTGGGGTGATGGAAAGCGGGAGAATGGGGCGGGGTGATGGAAAGCAGGAGAATGGGGCGGGGTGATGGAAAGCGGGAGAATGGGGCAGGGTGATGGAAAGCGGGAGAATGGGGCGGGGTGATGGAAAGCGGGAGAATGGGGCGGGGTGATGGAAAGCGGGAGAATGGGGCGGGGTGATGGAAAGCGGGAGAATGGGGCGGGGTGATGGAAAGCGGGAGAATGGGGCGGGGTGATGGAAAGCGGGAGAATGGGGCGGGGTGATGGAAAGCGGGAGAATGGGGCGGGGTGATGGAAAGCGGGAGAATGGGGCGGGGTGATGGAAAGCGGGAGAATGGGGCGGAGTGATGGAAAGCGGGAGAATGGGGCGGGGTGATGGAAAGCGGGAGAATGGGGCGGGGTGATGGAAAGTGGGAGAATGGGGCGGAGTGATGGAAAGCGGGAGAATGGGGTGGGGTGATGGAAAGCGGGAGAATGGGGCGGGGTGATGGAAAGCGGGAGAATGGGGCGGGGTGACGGAAAGTGGGAGAATGGGGCGGGGTGATGGAAAGCGGGAGAATGGGGCGGGGTGATGGAAAGCGGGAGAATGGGGTGGGATGATGGAAGGAGGGGGAATGGGGCGGGGTAATGGAAAGCGGGAGAATGGGGCGGGGTGATGGAAAGCGGGAGAATGGGGCGGGGTGATGGAAAGCGGGAGAATGGGGCGGGGTGATGGAAAGCGGGAGAATGGGGCGGGGTGATGGAAAGCGGGAGAATGGGGCGGGGTGATGGAAAGCGGGAGAATGGGGCGGGGTGATGGAAAGCGGGAGAATGGGGCGGGGTGATGGAAAGCGGGAGAATGGGGCGGGGTGATGGAAAGCGTGAGAATGGGGCGGGATGATGGAAGGAGGGAGAATGGGGCGGGGTGATTGAAGGAGGGAGAATGGGGCGGGGTGATGGAAAGCAGGAGAATGGGGCGGGGTGATGGAAAGCGGGAGAATGAGGCGGGGTGATGGAAGGAGGGAGAATGGGGCGGGGCGATGGAAAGCGGGAGAATGGGCCAAGGTGATGGAAAGCGGGAGAATGGGGCGGGGTGATGGAAAGCGGGAGAATGGGGCGGGGTGATGGAAAACGGGAGAATGGGGCGGGGTGATGGAAAGCGGGAGAATGGGGCGGGGTGATGGAAAGCAGGAGATTGGGGCGGGGTGATGGAAAGCGGGAGAATGGGGCGGGGTGATGGAAAGCGGGATAATGCGGCTGGGTGATGGAAAGCGGGAGAATGGGGCGGGGTGATGGAAAGCGGGAGAATGGGGCAGGGTGATGGAAAGCGGGAGAATGGGGCGGGGTGATTGAAGGAGGGGGAATGGGGTGGGGTGATGGAAAGCGGGAGAATGGGGCGGGGTGATGGAAAGCGGGAGAACGGGGCGGGGTGATGGAAAGCGGGAGAATGGAGCAGGGTGATGGAAAATGGGAGAATGGGGCGGGGTGATGGAAAGCGGGAGAATGGGGCGGGGTGATGGAAAGCAGGAGTATGGGGCAGGGTGATGGAAAGCGGGAGAATGGGGCCGGGTGATGGAAAGCGGGAGAATGGGTTGGGGTGATGGAAAGCGGGAGAATGGGGCGGGGTGATGGAAAGCGGGAGAATGGGGCGGGGTGATGGAAAGCGGGAGAATGGGGCGGGGTGATGGAAAGCGGGAGAATGGGGCGGGGTGATTGAAGGAGGGGGAATGGGGCGGGGTGATGGAAAGCGGGAGAATGGGGCGGGGTGATGGAAAGCAGGAGAATGGGGCGGGGTGATGGAAAGCGGGAGAATGGGGCAGGGTGATGGAAAGCGGGAGAATGGGGCGGGGTGATGGAAAGCGGGAGAATGGGGCGGGGTGATGGAAAGCGGGAGAATGGGGCGGGGTGATGGAAAGCGGGAGAATGGGGCGGGGTGATGGAAAGCGGGAGAATGGGGCGGGGTGATGGAAAGCGGGAGAATGGGGCGGGGTGATGGAAAGGGGGAGAATGGGGCGGAGTGATGGAAAGCGGGAGAATGGGGCGGGGTGATGGAAAGCGGGAGAATGGGGCGGGGTGATGGAAAGCGGGAGAATGGGGCGGGGTGATGGAAAGCGGGAGAATGGGGCGGGGTGATGGAAAGCGGGAGAATGGGGCGGGGTGATGGAAAGCGGGAGAATGGGGCGGGGTGATGGAAAGGGGGAGAATGGGGCGGAGTGATGGAAAGCGGGAGAATGGGGCGGGGTGATGGAAAGCGGGAGAATGGGGCGGGGTGATGGAAAGCGGGAGAATGGGGCGGGGTGATGGAAAGCGGGAGAATGGGGCGGAGTGATGGAAAGTGGGAGAATGGGGTGGGGTGATGGAAAGCGGGAGAATGGGGCGGGGTGATGGAAAGCGGGAGAATGGGGCGGGGTGATGGAAAGCGGGAGAATGGGGCGGGGTGACGGAAAGTGGGAGAATGGGGCGGGGTGATGGAAAGCGGGAGAATGGGGTGGGATGATGGAAGTAGGGGGAATGGGGCGGGGTGATGGAAAGCGGGAGAATGGGGCGGGGTGATGGAAAGCGGGAGAATGGGGCGGGGTGATGGAAAGCGGGAGAATGGGGCGGGGTGATGGAAAGCGGGAGAATGGGGCGGGGTGATGGAAGGAGGGAGAATGGGGCGGGGTGATTGAAGGAGGGAGAATGGGGCGGGGTGATGGAAAGCAGGAGAATGGGGCGGGGTGATGGAAAGCGGGAGAATGAGGCGGGGTGATGGAAGGAGGGAGAATGGGGCGGGGCGATGGAAAGCGGGAGAATGGGGCGGGGTGATGGAAAGCGGGAGAATGGGGCGGGGTGATGGAAAGCGGGAGAACGGGGCGGGGTGATGGAAAGCGGGAGAATGGAGCAGGGTGATGGAAAATGGGAGAATGGGGCGGGGTGATGGAAAGCGGGAGAATGGGGCGGGGTGATGGAAAGCAGGAGTATGGGGCAGGGTGATGGAAAGCGGGAGAATGGGGCCGGGTGATGGAAAGCGGGAGAATGGGTTGGGGTGATGGAAAGCGGGAGAATGGGGCGGGGTGATGGAAAGCGGGAGAATGGGGCGGGGTGATGGAAAGCGGGAGAATGGGGCGGGGTGATGGAAAGCGGGAGAATGGGGCGGGGTGATTGAAGGAGGGGGAATGGGGCGGGGTGATGGAAAGCGGGAGAATGGGGCGGGGTGATGGAAAGCAGGAGAATGGGGCGGGGTGATGGAAAGCGGGAGAATGGGGCAGGGTGATGGAAAGCGGGAGAATGGGGCGGGGTGATGGAAAGCGGGAGAATGGGGCGGGGTGATGGAAAGCGGGAGAATGGGGCGGGGTGATGGAAAGCGGGAGAATGGGGCGGGGTGATGGAAAGCGGGAGAATGGGGCGGGGTGATGGAAAGCGGGAGAATGGGGCGGGGTGATGGAAAGGGGGAGAATGGGGCGGAGTGATGGAAAGCGGGAGAATGGGGCGGGGTGATGGAAAGCGGGAGAATGGGGCGGGGTGATGGAAAGCGGGAGAATGGGGCGGGGTGATGGAAAGCGGGAGAATGGGGCGGAGTGATGGAAAGTGGGAGAATGGGGTGGGGTGATGGAAAGCGGGAGAATGGGGCGGGGTGATGGAAAGCGGGAGAATGGGGCGGGGTGATGGAAAGCGGGAGAATGGGGCGGGGTGACGGAAAGTGGGAGAATGGGGCGGGGTGATGGAAAGCGGGAGAATGGGGTGGGATGATGGAAGGAGGGGGAATGGGGCGGGGTGATGGAAAGCGGGAGAATGGGGCGGGGTGATGGAAAGCGGGAGAATGGGGCGGGGTGATGGAAAGCGGGAGAATGGGGCGGGGTGATGGAAAGCGGGAGAATGGGGCGGGGTGATGGAAGGAGGGAGAATGGGGCGGGGTGATTGAAGGAGGGAGAATGGGGCGGGGTGATGGAAAGCAGGAGAATGGGGCGGGGTGATGGAAAGCGGGAGAATGAGGCGGGGTGATGGAAGGAGGGAGAATGGGGCGGGGCGATGGAAAGCGGGAGAATGGGCCAAGGTGATGGAAAGCGGGAGAATGGGGCGGGGTGATGGAAAGCGGGAGAATGGGGCGGGGTGATGGAAAACAGGAGAATGGGGCGGGGTGATGGAAGGAGGGAGAATGGGGCGGGGTGATTGAAGGAGGGAGAATTGTGCGGGGTGATGGAAAGCAGGAGAATGGGGCGGGGTGATGGAAAGCGGGAGAATGGGGCGGGGTGATTGAAAGCGGGATAATGCGGCTGGGTGATGGAAAGCGGGAGAATGGGGCGGGGTGATGGAAAGCGGGAGAATGGGGCGGGGTGATGGAAAGCGGGAGAATGGGGCGGGGTGATTGAAGGAGGGGGAATGGGGTGGGGTGATGGAAAGCGGGAGAATGGGGCGGGGCGATGGAAAGCGGGAGAACGGGGCGGGGTGATGGAACGCGGGAGAATGGAGCAGGGTGATGGAAAATGGGAGAATGGGGCGGGGTGATGGAAAGCGGGAGAATGGGGCGGGGTGATGGAAAGCAGGAGTATGGGGCAGGGTGATGGAAAGCGGGAGAATGGGGCCGGTTGATGGAAAGCGGGAGAATGGGTTGGGGTGATGGAAAGCGGGAGAATGGGGCGGGGTGATGGAAAGCGGGAGAATGGGGCGGGGTGATGGAAAGCGGGAGAATGGGGCGGGGTGATGGAAAGCGGGAGAATGGGGCGGGGTGATTGAAGGAGGGGGAATGGGGTGGGGTGATGGAAAGCGGGAGAATGGGGCGGGGTGATGGAAAGCAGGAGAATGGGGCGGGGTGATGGAAAGCGGGAGAATGGGGCAGGGTGATGGAAAGCGGGAGAATGGGGCGGGGTGATGGAAAGCGGGAGAATGGGGCGGGGTGATGGAAAGCGGGAGAATGGGGCGGGGTGATGGAAAGCGGGAGAATGGGGCGGGGTGATGGAAAGCGGGAGAATGGGGCGGGGTGATGGAAAGCGGGAGAATGGGGCGGGGTGATGGAAAGCGGGAGAATGGGGCGGGGTGATGGAAAGCGGGAGAATGGGGCGGGGTGATGGAAAGCGGGAGAATGGGGCGGAGTGATGGAAAGCGGGAGAATGGGGCGGGGTGATGGAAAGCGGGAGAATGGGGCGGGGTGATGGAAAGTGGGAGAATGGGGCGGAGTGATGGAAAGCGGGAGAATGGGGTGGGGTGATGGAAAGCGGGAGAATGGGGCGGGGTGATGGAAAGCGGGAGAATGGGGCGGGGTGACGGAAAGTGGGAGAATGGGGCGGGGTGATGGAAAGCGGGAGAATGGGGTGGGATGATGGAAGGAGGGGGAATGGGGCGGGGTAATGGAAAGCGGGAGAATGGGGCGGGGTGATGGAAAGCGGGAGAATGGGGCGGGGTGATGGAAAGCGGGAGAATGGGGCGGGGTGATGGAAAGCGGGAGAATGGGGCGGGGTGATGGAAAGCGGGAGAATGGGGCGGGGTGATGGAAAGCGGGAGAATGGGGCGGGGTGATGGAAAGCGGGAGAATGGGGCGGGGTGATGGAAAGCGGGAGAATGGGGCGGGGTGATGGAAAGCGGGAGAATGGGGCGGGGTGATGGAAAGCGTGAGAATGGGGCGGGATGATGGAAGGAGGGAGAATGGGGCGGGGTGATTGAAGGAGGGAGAATGGGGCGGGGTGATGGAAAGCAGGAGAATGGGGCGGGGTGATGGAAAGTGGGAGAATGAGGCGGGGTGATGGAAGGAGGGAGAATGGGGCGGGGCGATGGAAAGCGGGAGAATGGGCCAAGGTGATGGAAAGCGGGAGAATGGGGCGGGGTGATGGAAAGCGGGAGAATGGGGCGGGGTGATGGAAAACGGGAGAATGGGGCGGGGTGATGGAAAGCGGGAGAATGGGGCGGGGTGATGGAAAGCAGGAGATTGGGGCGGGGTGATGGAAAGCGGGAGAATGGGGCGGGGTGATGGAAAGCGGGAGAATGGGGCGGGGTGATGGAAGGAGGGAGAATGGGGCGGGGTGATTGAAGGAGGGAGAATGGGGCGGGGTGATGGAAAGCAGGAGAATGGGGCGGGGTGATGGAAAGCGGGAGAATGAGGCGGGGTGATGGAAGGAGGGAGAATGGGGCGGGGCGATGGAAAGCAGGAGAATGGGGCGGGGTGATGGAAAGCGGGAGAATGGGGCGGGGTGATGGAAAGCGGGATAATGCGGCTGGGTGATGGAAAGCGGGAGAATGGGGCGGGGTGATGGAAAGCGGGAGAATGAGGCGGGGCGATGGAAGGAGGGAGAATGGGGCGGGGCGATGGAAAGCGGGAGAATGGGGCAAGGTGATGGAAAGCGGGAGAATGGGGCGGGGTGATGGAAAGCGGGAGAATGGGGCGGGGTGATGGAAAACAGGAGAATGGGGCGGGGTGATGGAAAGCAGGAGAATGGGGCGGGGTGATGGAAAGCGGGAGAATGAGGCGGGGTGATGGAAGGAGGGAGAATGGGGCGGGGCGATGGAAAGCGGGAGAATGGGCCAAGGTGATGGAAAGCGGGAGAATGGGGCGGGGTGATGGAAAGCGGGAGAATGGGGCGGGGTGATGGAAAACGGGAGAATGGGGCGGGGTGATGGAAGGAGGGAGAATGGGGCGGGGTGATTGAAGGAGGGAGAATGGGGCGGGGTGATGGAAATCAGGAGAATGGGGCGGGGTGATGGAAAGCGGGAGAATGGGGCGGGGTGATGGAAAGCGGGATAATGCGGCTGGGTGATGGGAAGCGAGAGAATGGGGCGGGGTGATTGAAAGCGGGAGAATGGGGCGGGGTGATGGAAAGCGGGAGAATGGGGCGGGGTGATTGAAGGAGGGGGAATGGGGTGGGGTGATGGAAAGCGGGAGAATGGGGCGGGGAGATGGAAAGCGGGAGAACGGGGCGGGGTGATGGAAAGCGGGAGAATGGAGCGGGGTGATGGAAAGTGGGAGAATGGGGCGGGGTGATGGAAAGCGGGAGAATGGGGCGGGGTGATGGAAAGCGGGAGTATGGGGCGGGGTGATGGAAAGCGGGAGAATGGGGCCGGGTGATGGAAAGCGGGAGAATGGGTTGGGGTGATGGAAAGCGGGAGAATGGGGCGGGGTGATGGAAAGCGGGAGAATGGGGCGGGGTGATGGAAAGCGGGAGAATGGGGCGGGGTGATGGAAAGCGGGAGAATGGGGCGGGGTGATTGAATGAGGGGGAATGGGGTGGGGTGATGGAAAGCGGGAGAATGGGGCGGGGTGATGGAAAGCGGGAGAATGGGGCGGGGTGATGGAAGGAGGGAGAATAAATCGGGGTGATGGAAGGAGGGAGAATGGGACGGGGTGATGGGAGGACGTTCTACCGGGTCACCTGGCTGCACTTGTCTGGTCCTATTGCCAAGCCAGCAAGGGCGTGGGAGGGTTGCGAGCATCATTGGTTATCAGCGCTCGCGAATTGAAAATGCCCGTTGCACTTCCTGCACATGTGCGGATCCTTCCGCGTTTTGGGGCTGAAAGCGCTCGTTCTGAGCGCTTTTCTTACGCCGGATTGTCTGGGCCTATTGCCAAGCCAGCAAGGGCGTGGGAGGGTTGCGAGCATCATTAGTCATAAGCGCTTGCGAATGAAGAGCGCCCGCTGCACTTCCTGCACAAGTGTGGATCCTTCCGCGTTTTGGGGCTGGAAGCGCTCGTCTGAGCGTATTTCTTCTACCGGGTCACGTGGCTGCGCGTGTCTGGGCCTATTGCCAAGCCAGCAAGGGCGTGGGAGGGTTGCGAGCATCATTGGTCATCAGCGCTCGCGAATGAAGAGCGCCCGCTGCACTTCCTGCACATGTGCGGATCCTTCCGCGTTTTGGGGCTGGAAGCGCTCGTTCGGAGCGTTGTTCTTCTACCGGGTCACCTGGCTGCGCTTCTCTGGGCCTATTTCCAAGCCAGCAAGGGCGTCGGAGGGTTACAAGCATCATCGGTCATCAGTGCTCACGAATGATGAGCGCCCGCTGCACTTCCTGCACATGTGCGGATCCTTCCGCGTTTTGAGGCTAGAAGCACTCGTTCTGAGCGTTTTTCTTCCGTTGGGTCACCAGGCTGTGCTTGTCTGGGCCCATTGCCAAGCCAGCAAGGGCTAGGGTTGGTTGCAAGCATCATCGATCATCGGCGCTCGCGAATGAAGAGCGCCTGCTGCAGTTCCTGCACATGTGCGGATCCTTCCACGTTTTGGGGCTGGAAGCGCTCGTTCAGAGCGTTTTGCTTCTACCGTGTCACCTGGCTGCGCTTGTCTGGTCCTATTGCCAAGCCAGCAAGGGCGTGGGAGGGTTACAAGCATCATCGGTCATCGGCGCTCACGAATGATGAGCGCCCGCTGCACTTCCTGCACATGTGCGGATCCTTCCGCGTTTTGGGGCTGGAAGCGCCCGTTCGGAGCGTTTTTCTTCTACCGGGTCACCTGGCTGCACTTGTATGGGCCTATTGCCAAGCCAGCAAGGGCGTGGGAGGGTTGCGAGCATCATTGGTCATCAACGCTCGCGAATGAAGAGCGCCCGCTGCACTTCCTGCACATGTGCGGATCCTTCCGCGTTTTGGGGCTGGAAGAGCTCGTTCAGAGCGTTTTTCTTCTACCGGGTCACCTGGCTGCGCTTGTCTGGGCCTATTGCGAAGCCAGCAAGGGCGTGGGAGGGTTGCAAGCATCATTGGTCATCAGCGCTCGCGAATGAAGAGCGCCCGCTGCACTTCCTGCACATGTGCGGATCCTTCCGCATTTTGGGCCTGGAAGAGCTCGTTTGGAGCGTTTTTCTTCTACCGGGTCACCTGGCTGCGCTTCTCTGGGCCTATTGCCAAGTCCGCAAGGGCGTGGGGGGGTTGCGAGCATCATTGGTCATCAGCGCTCGCGAATGACGAGCGCCCGCTGCACTTCCGCACATGTGCGGATCCTTCCGCGTTTTGGGGCTGGAAGCGCTCGTTCGGAGCGTATTTCTTCTACCGGGTCACTTGGCTGCGCTTCTCTGGGCCTATTGCCAAGCCAGCAAGGGCGTGGGAGGGTTGTGGGCATCATTGGTCATCAGCGCTCGCGAATGACGAGCGCCAGCTGCACTTCCTGTACATGTGCGGATCCTTCCGCGTTTTGGGGCTGGAAGTGCTCGTCTGAGCCTTTTTCTTCTACCGTGTCACCTGGCTGCGCTTGTCTGGGCCTATTGCCAAGCTAGCAAGGGCGTGGGAGGGTTGCGAGCATCATTGGTCATCAGCGCTCGCGAATGAAGAGCGCCCGCTGCACTTCTTGCACATGTGCGGATCCTTCCGCGTTTTGGTGCTGGAAGCGCTCGTTCGGGGCGATTTTCTTCTACTGGGTCACCTGCTTGCGCTTTTCTGGGCCTATTGCCAAGCCAGCAAGGGCGTGGGAGGGTTGTGAGCATCATTGGTCATCAGCGCTCGCGAATGAGGAGCGCCCGCTACACTTCCTGCACATGTGCCAATCCTTCCGAGTTTTGGGGCTGGAAGCGCTCGTTCGGAGCGTTTTTCTTCTAATGGGTCAGCTGGCTGCGCGTTTCTGTGCCTATTGCCAAGCCAGCAAGGGCGTGGGTGGGTTGCAAGCATCATCGGTCATCGGCGCTTGCGAATTGTGAGCGCCCGTTGCACTTCCTGCACATGTGCAGATCCTTCCGCGTTTGAGGCTAGAAGCGCTCGTTCTAAGCGTTTTTCTTCCGTTGGGTCACCAGGCTGCGCTTCTCTGGGCCTATTGCCAGGCCAGCAAGGGCGTGGGAGGGTTGCGAGCATCATTGGTCATCAGCGCTCGCGAATGAAGAGCGCCCACTGCACTTCCTGCACATGTGCAGATCCTTCCGCGTTTTAGGGCTGGAAACGCTCGTTCGTAGCGTTTTTCTTCTATTGGGTCAGCTGGTTGCGCTTGTCTGGGCCTATTGCCGAGCCAGCAAGGGCGTGGGTGGGTTGCAAGCATCATCGGTCATCGGCGTTTGCGAATTATGAGCGCCCGTTGCACTTCCTGCACTCGTGCGGATCCTTCCGCGTTTTGAGGCTAGAAGCGCTCATTCTAAGCGTTTTTCTTCCGTTGGGCCACCAGGCTGCGCTTCTCTGGGCCTATTGCCAAGCCAGCAAGGGCTTGGGTGGGTTGCAAGCATCATCGGTCATAAGCGCTTGCGAATGAAGAGCGCCCGCTGCACTTCCTGCACAAGTGTGGATCCTTCCGCGTTTTGGGGCTACAAGCGCTCGTTCTGAGCGTTTTTTCTTCCGCCGGGTCACGCAGCTGCGCTTGTTTGGGCCTATTGCCAAGCCAGCAAGGGAGTGGGAGGGTTGCGAGCATCATTGGTCATCAGCGCTCGCGAATGAAGAGTGCCCGCTGCACTTCCTGCACATGTGCAGATCCTTCCGCGTTTTGGGACTGAAAGCGCAAGTTCGGAGCGCTTTTTTGCTACCGGGTCACCTGGCTGTCGCGAATGATGAGCTCCCGCTGCACTTCCTGCACATGTGCTGATCCTTCCAAGTTTTGGGGCTGGAAACATCGTTCGGAGCGTTTTTCTTCCGCCGGGTCACCAGGCTGCGCTTGTCTGGGCCTATTGCCAAGCCAGCAAGGGCGTGGGTGGGTTGCAAGCATGATCGGTCATCGGCGCTCGCGAATGAAGAGCGCCCACTGCACTTCCTGCACATGTGCGGATCCTTCCGCGTTTTGGGGCTACAAGCGCTCGTTCCAGCGTTTTTCTTCCGCCGGGTCACGTAGTTGCGCTTGTTTGGGCCTATTGCCAAGCCAGCAAGGGCGTGGGAGGGTTGCGAGCATCATTGGTCATCAGCGCTCTCGAATGGAGAGCGCCCGCGGCACTTCCTGCACATGTGCGGATCCTTCCGCGTTTTGGGGCTGGAAGCGCTCGTTCGGAGTGTTTTTCTTCTACCGGGTCACCTGGCTGCGTTTGTCTGGGCCTATTGCCAAGCCAGCAAGGGCGTGGGAGGGTTGCGAGCATCATTGGTCATCAGCGCTCGCGAATGAAGAGCGCCCGCTGCTCTTCCTGCACATGTGCGGATCCTTCCGCATTCTGGGGGTGGAAGCGCTCGTTCCGAGCGTTTTTCTTCCGCCGGTTCTCGTGGCTGCACTTGTCTTTGCCTACTACCAAGCCAGCAAGGGCGTGGGAGGGTTGCGAGCATCATCGCTCATTGGTGCTCGCGAGTGAAGAGCGCCCGCTGCACTTCCACTCATTCATATGCGCACCACTGACTCTCACCTCACCAGACTCACACCACCCAACTCAATCTCGAACCCACTACCTATCACACCCGCCCACTACTCTCACACTAGGCCAATACCGCAGGTTCTGCGCTGACAACGCAAGGCACCTGGAGCAGCTTGTGATGTGAAGTAAAGGGATCAATTTGTTGTGACACTCTTGACACTGTCATTGCAAATGTCTTATTTGTACCATACTATACTATTCTCAACAGCTTTTGGAACGAATATAGTGGCTGGGCTTGTATCCCAGGAAAGCGGTACAAAGAAGAACCGTTAGGAATCATGCAGTTTTTGTTACACATTCAAGAATCGGGTACCGTATATCCAACAAGCGTATGGTTATGTCTGCCCATCAATCCGGTAGCATTTACTACTTGAGTCCATTGCAGGTGACGCTGCCACTGACGGTAGTGCAGCAAAAGCCCGCTGCTGCTGCTCCACCTGCTCTTGCTGCTGCTGCTGCAACCTGTGCTCCTCCTCGGCTCTCTTTATACATGACGACAGCAGGCGAGACAAGGGCGCAGCAGTCACCCCATGCACCACCACCGACGCCACCACCACAAACAGCACCACGTGCGCTGCTGTCGCATCCCCCCCCAGCTCCTCACACGCCTGTGCCGCATACAGCACAGCCCCCACCCCAATCGGCCCAAAGAACCCCGCAAACCCGGCCTGACAATACACCGCTCGCTTGGACCCCACCTGCCGGTGCAGCTCCGGCAGGCAGGGAGCGAGCGCGAGCAGCACGGGCAGGCGGCGCAGCAGCAGGACGAGCGCGCTGAAGAGCAGCAGGCGGGGGATGCCGAGGGCGCGCCAGGCGGCGAAGGGGAGGAAGGCGCCGAAGTAGGTGAAGTAGGTGATGGTGACGATGATCTCTATGCCGTTTATCGCGTCGTACCGCCCCTCCTCTGCTGTGGGCTCGCGGCTGGAGAAGGCTATGGTTGCCACGAACACAGCCAGCACCCCGCTCGTACCTGCATGGCGCATGCGTGCATGCACAGAGAGGGGCAGAGGAAAAAGGAGGGAAGACGCGACCTTGGCTCTCTCAGGTGAGGGGCCTGAAGTACAGAGATCATACCACACCATATGATGCCTCCCAGAAAAGCGCAAAGATATGCAGTTCAGAGTGACGCACCAACGGCCCGAACAAGCCCTAGCGCGCCGAGGGCAAGGCCGATGATGTGAGCAAGGAAGGACGGCTCGTCTATGAGCCCGTAGCGGTCGCCTAGAAGCAGCAGGCCTCGTGCAACCAGCACGTACAGCAACCCCGCTGCTATGGCCAGCCCCACCTGACACAGATTGGCGCACGGGACAGGGGCGGGCAGGGCAGAGTGAGTCGACTCACAACTCAGCGGTCGCCCAGCTGCAGCCGCCCGTACAGCATGCCCGCTGCTATGGGGCCAGCCCAACCTGGTGCCGGGTGATACTCAGGGCAGGCAGGGCAGGAGTGGGAGTGTTCGTATGATGAGGTGCACAAGTGCATGGTCGGAAGAGTGCAGCAGAAGTGCGTTGTGCGTTGAGTGAAAACAAGAACTGAGACGCCTGAAAGCACACCTGGTAGGCGCAGGCGACGACAAGCCAGTGCGTGAGCGCGAGCTTAACCGTGGGCTGCAGCAGCAGTGGTGCCTCTTCAGACGGTGCTAAAGGCGCCTTAAAAATCACCTGGTAGGCGCAGGCGACGGCGAGCCAGTTCGTGAGGGCGAGCTTGAGCGTGGGCTGCAGCAGCAGTGCGATGGGCAGAGAGACGTACGGCAGTGCCATGCCGTCGTTTGCCCCGCTCTCCGCCTGCAACATGAAGCGCAGCGGCGCTGGCAGGTGCCTGGTTGGAGGGGAGAGGAGGGGGGGAGGGGGGGGAGGGAGGGGAGGGGAGGGAGACAATGCGTGAGAGAGGTGCAGAGAGACGGAGGCGGATGCAAGGGTTGGCGGAGAAAGGAGTGCCTCGGTCGTTGCATTGACGTGGGATTGCATGCACCCACCCCACCCCACCCCACCCCACCCCACCGTACCCCACCCCACCCCACCCTACACTACCGTACCCCACCCCACCACACGCCCATGGCGGAGCACGCACATTTCAGCGAAGCGGCCCTGCAGGACGGTGGAGGCGAGCACTGGATCCGTGGGCGTGAGGCACGCGGCGACGAGCAGGCACGTCTGCCACCCCACGCCCGCGTGCGGCAGCAGTGCGAGCGCGAGGGCAAAGGAGATGGCCAACGTGGCGAGCATGGTGGGACCCAGCAGCACGGCTAGCGTCCGCCACTGCCGCTCCACGTACTTGAGAGGTAGGCCCAGGCCCGCTGACACCAGCTGCACTGCCAGGACCAGGCGGGAGAGCTGGGGGAGAGAGAGGGAGGGGGGTTGGTTGGGATATGATATGAGTGGGATGATGGCGGAAGCTGCTGCCGTTCCTGCTGACGGAAGGGATCAAGGCATGGGGGAAGGGGGAGCGAGCGGAGCGCTCACCTCTTGCAGCAAGGCGAGCGCCGTTTCTTCGCCCAAGGCGCCGTGCGGGTCCAACACGCGGATGCAGTGCGGCCCCAGCAGCACGCCCACCACTAGCGCCGCGAACGTCTCCGATATAAGCAGATCCTCTTTCAGCTTGCGCATCATGAAGGTGTAGGTCATGATCAGCACGCCTACGACGCCCACCGTTATGTGCAGCCACGCCAATGGCGGAATCAAATCCACCATGTCTGACCAATGAAAGATCTTAACGAGAATCGAGGAGAGCAGTAACGGGGATGACGGCGGATTTGGCGGCACCGGCGGCAGGAGATCGGAGTATGACGGGTAAGAGATGTGATCGGAGGGGAGGGAGATGAGAAGAGGAGCGCGGGACTGCGACATGGCCGCGTGGGGCGCAGCGAGATGATTCGAGCGCGCTTATCGCTAGAGGGTGATAGAAATCGATCGCGCAACGAGACGGGCGAAGGTTGCGATGAAGAAGGGCGCGAGGAATAAGGGGCGGGAGACAGTGAGACGCTGGGGACAGGCGAATCACACCCGCCCTGTTGTAATTGCAGCGCGAATGCGCCAGGGCCCTCATTCGAGCGAGCATGGCGGCAAGAGCAAGGCGATTGGGGCGCAGGAAGGTTGGATGATTAGAATGGTTGGCGAGTGGGAGAGAAAAGAATTCGAATGCGCACGTGGCCTTGTGCATGGTGCTTGCTGGAGGTGCGTCAGTGAAAATGTGCCCCTCGCAATTGTCAGGGGAGTTTCAAATCTCAAATTCCCATGGCCAGCATCCTATATCGGGTATGGAGCCGCTGGTGGCCTCGCTACACAACGTCGTGCTTTCAGAACCCTTTTTGCAATAGGCAACTCTATGTGACGCACTTTGCTGGTTGTATGTTTCTCATGCAGAGAAGTCATCTCAGAAGTATTCAGTAAGCAATACATACCCTATGAGAGAACAAGATGCCTCACGAAACAAAATACATAAAGTGTTTTGCTCGTGTGGAAAAAGCCACAAAATGCTTCAGATGCAGAGATGCTGCATCGAGCGAGCTGATTCGTATTGAGAAAACGCATCACCAACCCCGTCGCAGCTAACGAGAGGCTGCAGCCTATGTGATGCGTTTAGGAATGCGGACTCGATGTCTTGGGTGCAAGTGGTGCTGCGTGAACGGTGAGAGCTGAGGAATGGGCGTGGGGTCACTTAAAGCTCCACACCTCCACCTGTGCCACCTCAAACTCCTCCGAGCTGGTAAGGCAGCACGGGGAGGCAAACAGAGACCAGGGAGAGCGGGGAGACATGGGGAAGGGGGCCATGGGGAAGGGGGCCATGGGGAAGGGGGCCATGGGGAAGGGGGCCATGGGGAAGGGGGCCATGGGGAAGGGGGCCATGGGGAAGGGGGCCATGGGGAAGGGGGCCATGGGGAAGGGGGCCATGGGGAAGGGGGCCATGGGGAAGGGGGCCATGGGGAAGGGGGCCATGGGGAAGGGGGCCATGGGGAAGGGGGCCATGGGGAAGGGGGCCATGGGGAAGGGGGGCATGGGGAAGGGGGCCATGGGGAAGGGGGCCATGGGGAAGGGGGCCATGGGGAAGGGGGCCATGGGGAAGGGGGCCATGGGGAAGGGGGCCATGGGGAAGGGGGCCATGGCAACGCCATGTATAAGAAGTTTGAGGAGGTGTGAAGCATGGAAGATGGTGCAGCATATGAGGACAGAGAAGGCTACATCTAAAAGGAGAATGCTGAAAGGAATAGCAAGCCATGGCATGGCATGGCATGGCATGGCATGGCATGGCATGGCATGGCATGGCATGGCACGGCACGGCATGGCATGGCATGGCATGGCAAGGCATGGCAGTACCTGGCAAGGATGGCACTGCCAAAGGTGTCACACGGAGCACTGGCGCCTGTGAGGAGATCAGCGTAGAGCAGCAGGCTGTGGTGGTTGCTGCACTCCATTCCGTGTGGGGTATGGTGTTGTGGGGCACGGGGTACATACAGGGAAAAGGGTACAGTTGGGGTACAGGGTAAAGAGTAGGGAACAGGAGAATGCAGAGAAACATGCGAGCCAAGCATAGCACTAGGTGCCAACGGCTTTCTTTCAAAGCAACCAGGTGAAACCGAATGAACTAGAGTGCAGCACCGTCTCCCATCTACCACCCACGAACTCTCCCCCACCTCTCCCCTCAACCCCACTCACCCGCCCCCCACAGCAAGCATGGCGTTGCTGGAGAGCATGAAGTAGCTGTTGGTGCGCGCCCACCTGTACGCCACACACTCCGGCTGCACCTGGTGGGGGGAAGTGGGAGGGAGAAGGGGAGGAAAGAGGAGGAGCGCGTGGGGTAGGGAAGAGGAGAGTGGAAGGGTATGGTGGGAGCTGGCAGAGAGCAGAGTGGGGCTGGCAGGAGGGTTTTGAAGGGGGGTTAGGAAGGCATCAAGGGCAAAAGAATTTCGAACGGAGGCGCACGGGGTAGATGGGTACCTGGAAGACAAAGCACTCTCCGTTGCCGTAGTAGCGGTCCATGGGGCGCCACTCCTCGTTGGTGAAACACCCAAATACCTGGTCACGCATGCATGCATGCACGCACACATGGACGCATGCACATGTGCGTGAAAGACACGAGGAGATCAGGAAGTGGTGCCAGCAAGGACAGAGACAGGTGTGGCAGCATGGGTTTGTGAATCAAGCATGGGGTTAGTGACTTGGCATAGGCACTGGGCAATTGGGCACTCACGTATTTATTCGAGTCACGCACGACCAGCAGACACGCGCCCTTGCCCTTGATCTTCCGAAACAATGTTGCCATGCTGCACCATGCACACACACGACAAGGCACGAGACATGAGACATGGAGGCATGCGGCAACGACAGACGGTACGGCAGAAGAGAGAAAGATTTGCATGAGTAAGTGCAGAGCCATGGAGGGGCTAACAAGAGAGATATTCATGACCTATGGACGTATCACATCATTCCGTAACCTCTGTTGCAGTCACCTGACGCCACATACATAATCACGTTATGCCACCTGGACAATCACTTGATGCATCCTGCATGATCACCTGATGCCATCCCTGGCAGTGGAGTAGAGCAATCTCCAGGGGGATGTGCGCAGGCGAGCAGGCAGCGTCACCGCCAGCTGCGATGCCAGGGGGTGGGGGGAATGGGGGTGGGTTGGGCATGAGGTGTGGAGGGAGCAAGGGCAGGCACAAGCAGAGGAGCTGGAATGTGGGGATTGGGAAACACTGGTATGGGGCCACATTTGACCACATGCAGCACATTGCTTCACTCACCGCCATGAAGTTCTGTGGTGACAGCAGCAGCGACTCCCCTATTCTCTTGGGCAGGTAGTGCCCTCTAATCACCGCAGATCCCCACCGTATCGCACTCCCCTGCCCCTCCCCTTCTTGCCCATCCTTCCCCGCGCTCTCGTCCCCCTTCCCCCCTCCCCTGTCGCTCTTCTGTGCTTCTAACGGGAAGGACGGCTGGTAGCCCTTGTTCTCGGGCACTGTTCCTCCATTCGCTACAATCACGGCCAGTGAGGCGTCCAGCAGCACGGCGGGCGAGACCACCACCTGCTGCCACGTGGCGAGCTTCTGGTGCACCAGGGCCAGGCTGCGCTGAAGGAGAGGGGGGAAGGCGGGAGTGGGGGGGAGAAACGGGGTGGTGGGTATGGTTGGGGGACGGGGACATGGTTGTGGGTGGGGGGAGTGGTTGGGGGTGAGGGAATGGTCGGGGATGGGGGGAATGGGTGGGGTTGGGGGACCTGGTTGGGGGCGTGAAACTGAGCGCATGCTTGTGTGGGGCTGTGTTGCGAGGGCAGCTCTCACGACACAGCCAAATCTCTCCTCCTCTCCTCTCAACAAACCCCCCTGTCCAGACTGCTGCAATTCATGGCGAGTACTCTGCAACCGCGCACTCCGCCCCCCCCAGCGCGCCACCCCTCTGCGCGTCTCTCCGCGCCCGTCTCACCCTGCGGCGTTGCAGGCGAACTGGAGGGTCTGCGCGGGGGCGCTAGCGAGGGAGGGGTTGCGGAAGAGGATCTCCCACTTCTCCATGCGCGCCACCAGCGCCTCCAGCTCCCGCCGCGCCTCCTCCTCCTTCCGCGCCGCCTCCTCCTTCACCTGCCGCTCCTCCTCCTTGGCGCGCCTCGCCCTCTCCTTCTCGTCCAACACTTCCTCCCTTCTCTCCTCTGCGCGAATCTCTTCGCTCGCTCCTTCTCCTTGTTTCACTTCTTCCGCTTTTCCCTCCCCTTCTGCATTTTCATCTGTAACGTTCGTAACCTGCTCTGCTCCTTCTGTGCTTCTCGCTTCCGCCGCCTCTGTCGCTGCGTCCCCGCTTTCTGTCTCCCCGACCTTCCCCTCCGCAGCTGCTTCCCCTCCTTCCGCCACCGCCCCCCCAACCACTCCATTCTCCTTCCCTGCTTCCCCCTCCCCCTCCCCCTCCCCCTTTTCCGCAGCTCCCCCTTCCGGTTTCGGCACGCCCGGAATGAGCAAACCCGTCGGTTTGTGTTCCTTCACCCATTGCCACGTGGCAGTCAGCGACTCGCCGATGGCGGCTGCGAGCGACGCCTGCAGCTTCGGCCAATTCTCCTCGAGCTTGTCTTTTATCGCCACCGCGTTGCCGCGAATCTTTGCTGACGTGGACGCGATGTACGAGCGCGCGGAGGCGTCGGGCTCGGAGAAGGCTTTGATTCGTCGCATGCCGACGAAGTGGCTGTAGGAGAAGGCGCAGCTGCGAATCCCGAAGTCGAGCATGAACGGATTGTCGCCCAGCGTCGCCTCCAGCTGATTTCGCGTCGCCGAGAAGGTACGACGACAGCAAGGGTAAGGACGGGAGTTGTGAGGAAACCGAATAAATTGATGAATAATGGAAGGGGGATTTTTGAAAAACGGGAACGGAATAGGAACGGAATGGGAACGGGACGCGAGGGAATGCCAATTCGAGTATCCAATGCGATCCGAGCAGCGGGGCGTACCAGATCTCGTCCGACCGGGACGATGAGACGCGGCGGCGAGTCGTCGTCCTCGTCGCCCTCCTCCTTGTTGCTCGGGTCGCGCGACAGCGGCTGCTGCTTCAGCTCAGGGTACTTGGCCTCCAGTTCGCGTCGCTCGCGGTCGCCCACGATCGTCAGCATCATTCGCACGCGCTCCACTTCTTCCGCGCTCAGCACCCTCTCCCCCGGCTTCGTCGCCTCCATTTCGTCGTCCGACTTGTCGTCGAAATCGCTCGCTTCCGTCGGCTGCTTCTCCGCTGTCAGCTGCGACGTCGCCTGCGAGTCGCCGTCGTCGTCGCCATCATCGTCGCCCGTCGCAGACGCGCCTTGCCCATCGACCTTATCCGACAGCGATATCGTCTCCATTGGCAGCTCTTCCATCGTGCCGGCACTACCCGTCGCGTTGGGCTGTGCTGTCACGGTCTCAATAGGTTCATCCATGGCTGCACCCAGCTCGTTGAGCGCAAGGCAGTGAATGATCTGTTCCCTCGAATTCAGCGATAGTGAGCTGAGGCAAAATGCGGCGGAGCTGATACAGACCGGACGAGCCACTAATTTCACGCGCTGTGGAGCTCGTCACTGACCGCTGGGTGTCGCGCACTGATGGATGGCTGGATGAATCACTGACTCACTCCTTTACTGGACCGCCATTTACGTCGACGGATCGAGCGAGTTCAGACATTTCTTGAAAATGCCTACCCTGGGAGTGCCTTCTTGGAAGTGCCGAAAACGGTTGCCCTGAATATCCATCATCCATCCATCCCGCCTTTGGGATTTGTTTGCCTGCTACTGTTGTGGTGAATGAGGTGAGGGGATTCGCATCACGCGCGCGCGGGAAGCGCTTTATTCCCGCTACACGCGGAAGGGGTGGCGGAACTGGAGAGGTTGAGGGGTGGGGGAAACCCGCGCGGTGGCTGTCGGTGCTCTGTTTGATGCTGACACCGCGGGAATATTGCCGCAATATCGAATGTGCTGAAATAGGAAATCGAAATTGTAATATGTAATTGTTGATCGATGCATCCGAGTTCGGTTGCATTTAGTCAATTCCTTTTGCTGGCGGTCTCGGCTTAGCATATGACGAATTTCTTTGTGCTGGACAAAATTGGCACACTGCCTGACAATTCCCAACAGCCGCCAAAATGGTGGCATTGCTGTCTGACAAACCAGACATCCCTTCCCTGCATCAGTAGTGCATGTCCCACTCACCCAAGCTCGGTCAGTGATATCCGCGCCGCTACCTTGGTGGTTAGTGTCCCACGGTCGACCGTGATCCATGACACGCGAAGCATTGACTAAATAAGAGGAATGCGAAGATCTTTGGGTCTGTTTTCATGGAGTCGCCGAGCTTATCGCCCCGTTGGCGCATCGTCAGTCGCGCTGAGTCCCTCTTATCGTCCCTCCGCCGTGTCGCGTCGAATCTAACGTTCAGCTGGGTGAATCCCCTCGTCGCACTTGGCTCTCGACGCCAATTGTCGCCCGTAGATTTGCTGCCTCTGCCTGCTGACGTGGAGCCACGTGTGTGCGGGCAGCTCCTTTGGACGAAATGGGAGGAGGAACGAGCAGCAGGCGACGACAACGGCATGCGCGCATCACGCGGCGACGGTCAGACGAGTGGTGTGTGGGGAGAACCGTCTCAGTCGGACCGGGATTTCCATATAGACGGGCCGTCGTCGCGTGAACGGCGCAGGCGCAGCGCGCAGCGAGGAGCGCCGTCGCTGCTGCGATGCATGGTGGCCATCTTCGGCGCGGAGTACCTCATGATCGGCGGCATCAAGGTGAGCTATCGTGGATTGGTGGTGGTAACCAGCGGATCAGGGTGGTAAGACGTGGAAACCGAGCAGTGACATAGTGGGGTGAACGCAAGGCACAAGAGCGCAGAGTACCTGGTGACCTGGGGGATGAAAGTGAGGAAAACACGTGGGTTGTAAGCGCCAGATCAGGGTGCTAAGACATGGAAGTGTACAATGAATGGCCATGTCACGATGTCACAGTGGAGTCAAAAAACCAAGGCAATCGCGCAGTCATCCTGTTACCTACGCCGTCTATTGCCCAACGCCATGCTCGTCCTCCTTCCCTGCGCTCCTCCGCCTTCTCATCCATCCCCCACCTGCCTCGCTCCCTCACCGCCATCCCCCTCACTCCCCCATTCAGCTGGTGAACGACGCGCTGGCCTTCGCGGGGCCGCTGCTGCTGCACCAGCTCGTGTCCGTGCTCGACAACGGCTCACATGCCCTCGCCCTGCACCCACCTTCTCCGGCCCCTGCCACCCTCGGTATTCACGCATTTGCTTCAGCTCGCTCACCTCACTCCTGCCCCACCTTTCCAATCCCCCGGTGATAGCTGTTTGCTTTTCGCGCCCTCCTCCTTCCATTCCCCTCACTCCGTTCTCCTCCCTTCCCACTCGACCCTCGCTTCATGCAATCCCTCATTCGTGTGAGTACCACAACAGCCTCCCGGCCGTTTCATCGCCTCCTCCTGGTTGCCCCTCTGTGCGTTCCTGATCCATCCCACCCACCGTCCTGCCAGGGCCTGCCGCGCCCCCCACGCCGTGGTCGTATGGCCTCGCTTGCGCTCTCGCCATCGGCGCCACCTCTGCCCTCAGGTCTGTGGTAGGGAGGCATGGTGAGCTTTGAGTAGCCTCAGAAATCCTGGCATGGTGACTTCACGTGTTCCTTACCCTCGTGCTCGCCTCCAACCCATGAACAACTGACTCGGTTATCTCTTGCTCCTCCTCCCGGGCATTCCACACTCATCGCATGGCGTTTGTGAATAGGCGGCCATGTCTCAAACCTCGTGTCCTTCTAGCTTCTTCCCATTCATCGCACCACCTCATCCCTCATTTCTCATGGCTCATTCCTCACCCCAGAGCCTTCCTAGGCGCGCACTACTCGTACCGCCTGGCGCGCATGGGGCTCAAGCTGCGCGCTGCCATCGCCACCTGCGTCTTCGCCAAGGTGTCGCCCTCGCCTCGATTGCTGTTGCCTGCTGAGTGCTTGCAGTGCCTGGACGAGTGGTTCCTGTTGCTGCCGCAGCGCTGCTGCTGCGTCTGTCAGTGCTGGGAGTGACTTCCTTCCACTGTGCCGATTAGCGTCATGTGCTTCTCCCCCTCCTCCCCCCCTCCCCTGCCTCCACCAGGTGCTGGCAGTGAGTGCGGCACAGAGGGGGTCATTCGAGGGTGGCGAGGTGCAGACGCTCATGAGTGTGGATGCGGACAGGCTTGTCAACCTCGTCATGTCGCTGCACGACCTGTGGGGGTCAGTGCTTTCCTTGGCAATACTCGGATCGGAAGCACATTCTGAGTTTCAGCTTTAAGTTGCGAACCAGGGCTCATTTGTGCTTTTTTGGAATCATTATTAATTCCTAGTGTGAAATTCCAACTTAATGCTTGCCGATTTTTAGCGTAGAACTGTCTGAAAATCGCTGACTATCCAGCCTACCCTATATCCAATCTGGGATACAAATCTTAACCCATAGTTTTCACCTCTTCCCACTCCCTGTCTCCACGTGTTTCATTCTCGCAGTCTGCCTCTGCAGATCCTTGTGGCGCTGCTGCTGCTCTACTGGCAGGTATGCACCATGCTCTGTGCCATGGCGGCACGCTGCACAGCACAGCACACACATACTAGTTCTACCGCTTCACACATTTCTCTAGCCGCACTTCCTCCTCGACGCGTCTCGGTGTTTGATATGCCACCACCCATTCTCATTGTATGGATGGGCATGCCTGCTTCTTACCATCTGCCACTGAACTTACTACACTGCATCCCCCCTCTCACCCCCTCCCCCCTCCCTCCTCTCCCTGTCATCTCCCTGCAGGTGAGCTACGCGTTTCTGGCCGGCCTGGCAGTTGTGCTGCTCCTCATCCCAGGTGCTCGCGCCTTGACCTCTCTGACCTTGCTGCTGCTCACACCCTACCCTTGGACGCCTCCTGCTCAATCCCCTCTCACATTTGAGACCGTGTGCCTCAAAACGCATCGCCGGTTGCCCCATGAGTGTGTCGTTTTCCTTTTCGATCCGCCTCTCAGAGAAGAGCCCATGTGCCGCACCTGCCACATTTGACATGTGCCATTGTCTGTTTGTCTTGTGCCGTGTGCTCTGCAAATGGACATGTGCCATGTGTGTGATACACACTGTGTGCTATGCCGTGTCCATGTGTCTTGTGTTGTGCGCATGTGTGTTGCGCTGTGCTGTGTGCATGTGTGTCGTGCGCATGTGCATGTGCCATGTGCATGTGGTGAGTGCAGTGAACCGGTGGCTGGTGGGGAGGATAGGAGAAGCGAGCAAGCAGATGATGGCCAGCAAGGATGCCAGGTGAGGGGCAGACAGAGAGACAAGGCTGGGATGCTTTTGCTCTTGCTCTCTCTCCCGCTATTTTATCGTGTGACACCCTCACCCTGCCAAGTCACCCTGCCACGTCACCCTGCCACGTCATCAGGGTGCAGGCGATGCAGGAGCTGTTGGACCACGTGGCAGCAGTGCGCGCCATGGCCATGGAGGGCGCTCTGCTCTCCCGCATCAATGTCGCTCGACACCTCGAGCTCTCCGCCCTTGCTGTACGTGTGTCTGTGTATCTGTGTATGTCTGGGCTGGGCTGGGCTGGGATGGGATGGGCTGGGATGGGCTGGCAAGGCAGGTTGTATACCAGCATCCACATTCCCCTCCCTCCCTCCACCCATTGCGTGCCTCAGGGGTGCACGTACGTGTCTGACACACATGCGGGAATGCTCTCAGACGCGTCTCATACCTGCACTGCATGATCCCCACACACATGCTTCTTCCCCACCATTGCATGCATCAGGTGCGCAAGTACCTGGCTGGACGCGTGGCGTGTGTACTTCTGGGCATACACGCCTGGCTCGTTCGAGTTGACTCCAAGCAATCCACCTGCTCCCCCCAACCTGTTCCACCGCGCAGGTGCGCAAGTACCTAGACGCGTGGTGTGTGTACTTCTGGGCGTGCACGCCTGTGCTCTTCTCCCTCGCCACCTTCTCCTCGCTGCTGCTCCTCGGCCGCTCCCTCAACGCCCCCGTGGTAAGCCATCATGCCCTGCACTCGTCGCCCCCGTGGGATGCCATCCGCTCTCAACGCCCCCGTGGTATGCCGTTCGTTTTCCCTCTCTTTTCTGCTCTCTCCTCTCACTCACCCTGCTGTTTCTCATGTTGCTGGTTTCTGAGTCGACTAGAAACTTGGTTCAGGTCGCCTAACAATTTGAATCGACTCAACAACGCCCTCCCTTCCGCACCCCTCACCCCACCCCACAGGTGTTCACGAGTCTAGCACTCTTCAACGTACTGCCGGCTTTTGAGTCAGCTAAAACCTCTATTCCACTAACTACCTCACCCCCTCACCCCACCCCACAGGTGTTCACGAGTCTAGCGCTCTTCAACGTGCTGCTGGGCCCGCTCAACTCCTTCCCCTGGGTCATCAACGGCATCGTCGAGGTATGAGTTCAACCAAGGTCTCACTATGCCACATGCTCTCATTCTCTGCATGTATTGTCCATGTGCCTCGTTTTGAGACGCCTCGAAACTCTTCAACGTGCTGCTGGGGTCATACACTGCACCGCCCGCTCAACTCCTTCCCCTGGGTCATCAACAGCATCGTCGAGGTAAGAGTTGAGCCGAGGTACTTGTCTCTCGCTCTCATTGTCGCCATGCGTTTGCAATGGCGGTGCAGCGTATGAGCGTGCAGTGCAGCGTATGAGCGTGCGGTGCAGCATATGAGCGTGCGGTGCAGCGTATGAGCGTGCGGTGCAGCGTATGAGCGGGCGGTGCAGCGTATGAGCGGCCGGTGCAGCGTATGAGCGGGCGGTGCAGCGTATGAGCGTGCAGTGCAGCGTATGAGCGCGCGGTGCAGCGTATGAGCGTGCGGTGGAGCGTATGAGCGTGCGGTTCAGCGTATGAGCGGGCGGTGCAGCGTATGAGCGGGTGGTGCAGCGTATGAGCGGGCGGTGCAGCGTATGAGCGGGCAGTGCAGCGTATGAGCGGGCGGTGCAGCGTATGAGCGGGCGGTGCAGCGTATGAGCGGGCGGTGCAGCGTATGAGCGGGCGGTGCAGTGTATGCCGCAGGGACCTCCTCTGCCCAGCAGGTGCAGGCTCATGTGTGCTTCTGTCGCACAGATACAGTTGTGTGCTGCCCTGGATCCCCCCTTCATCATTTCACCATCACGCAAACTCACGTTCTTTCATGCCTTCCCCCCACTCTCCCTATGCCTTTCTCATCTCTCATCACTCTCTGTTCCACTCCCACCACCCCTCAGGCGCTCATCTCTGTGAAGCGCCTGGAGGCGTTTCTCTGCATCCCCACGCCACCCATAGCCCGCCTCCCCTCTGCCTTCACCACCCCCTCTTCCACCTCATCATTCCCCACCGCCTCATCCCCTCCCACTGCGCCACCTCCTACCACCGCACCTGCTGCCAGCATCACCACCGGGTCTCACAGCAGCAGCAGCAGCGCAGGGCCTCACAGCAGCAGCAGCAGCGCAGGGCCTCACAGCAGCAGCAGCAGCGCAGGGCCTCACAGCAGCAGCAGCAGCGCAGGGCCTCACAGCAGCAGCAGCAGCGCAGGGCCTCACAGCAGCAGCAGCAGCGCAGGGCCTCACAGCAGCAGCAGCAGCGCAGGGCCTCACAGCAGCAGCAGCAGCGCAGGGCCTCACAGCAGCAGCAGCAGCGCAGGGCCTCACAGCAGCAGCAGCAGCGCAGGGCCTCACAGCAGCAGCAGCAGCGCAGGGCCTCACAGCAGCAGCAGCAGCGCAGGGCCTCACAGCAGCAGCAGCAGCGCAGGGCCTCACAGCAGCAGCAGCAGCGCAGGGCCTCACAGCAGCAGCAGCAGCGCAGGGCCTCACAGCAGCAGCAGCAGCGCAGGGCCTCACAGCAGCAGCAGCAGCGCAGGGCCTCACAGCAGCAGCAGCAGCGCAGGGCCTCACAGCAGCAGCAGCAGCGCAGGGCCTCACAGCAGCAGCAGCAGCGCAGGGCCTCACAGCAGCAGCAGCAGCGCAGGGCCTCACAGCAGCAGTCTGCTGGGGTCGCTCCTCCCCTTCCTCCTCCGCCACCCCCCCTCGCCGCTGCCCCGCCACGCTTCCCCCGCACTCTCGCCTCTCACAGCCCCCCTGCTGCGCCCCCCTACTGGCGAGGCTGATGGCGAGGCAGGGGGTGCAGCAGGGGGTGCAGCAGGGGGTGCCACGAGCAGCAGTCAGCGCCTTCCACTCTCCCTTCCTGCCACAGATCCCACCTGTGCTGCCAGTCCGTCCCCGCCACTAGCAGTGCACATGTGCGTGCTCAGCTTCTCCTGGCGTGCTCCCACCACCGCCACCACCAATCGCAGTGTGCCGACTGGGGCTAGTGTGGAAGAGGATGGTCCCGCTGCGCACGAGCGTAAGGAAAGCAGGTCCACCAGTGGTGGCGACAGGGGGAACAGCAGTAGGAGCAGCATTGCGCTGCACAGCATATGCCTGGACGTGCCAGAGGGGGCTGTGGTGGCCATTGTGGGCAAGGTGACCCCTTCCTCACCTTGTGCTCTCAGCGTTCCGTGTTGTATTGCATCATTCTCACAGCAGCTGCACTCTTTCAAATGCCCTGCTTCTGACCATGCCAGCTGTGCCATAAGCGTCCTCTCTTCCTACATTTCACCGTGCTCATCTCCACTCCTGCATCTCGCTCTCCCTCCTCTACTTCCTCCCATACTCCTCTACCCGCACGCTTGCAGGTGGGCAGTGGCAAGTCGTCACTGCTCGCTGCAATCCTAGGCGAGATGCAACCTGTACCAACGCATGCCTCGCCGTGCACACATGCACATGCAGCGGCAGCGTGTGGCAATGCACATGCACCTGCCATGCATCGTTCGCCCCGCTCCGCTGCTGTCCTGCAGGTGCGTGCTCTCGCTTGCAGCTTGCGTGTTGCTTGCTCCAACCCACCACTGCCATGCGCATGTGCGTGCTGTGTCGATGCGCCCGTCTTACCTGCCCCCTGCTTCTCTTCCCCTGCCCTGCGCACAGGAGCCGTGGGTGTTCGCAGGCAGCATACGAGAGAACGTGCGGTTTGGCGCGCCATGGGACCCCATCAGGTGGGGTTGGGGACAGAGACTGCGAGGAAGGGCAGGGAGGGAATGAAATGGTGTGGTGCTGTGGTGATTCACGATGCTGCCTTGGCACGTGCTTTTGTGTGCATGATGCCTAAGTGTAGTATGGAGAGCTGATGGTATGTGCAAGAGTGAAGATGAGTCACTGCTGCATCATGCTATCGAGCCACCATGGATTGCACTAGCGGACCACCATATCATGTCACCATGCGTCCCACCCACCAGGTACCAGCAGGTGATGCACGCCTGCGCATTGCATGAGGACACGGCAGCCATGGCAGGGGGCGACGAGGCACAGGTGGCGGACAGAGGGCTCACGCTCTCCGGCGGCCAGCGCGCCCGCCTTGCCCTCGCCAGGTGCGCCCGCCTTGCCCTCGCCAGGTGCGCCCGCCTTGCCCTCGCCAGGTGCGCCCGCCTTGCCCTCGCCAGGTGCGCCCGCCTTGCCCTCGCCAGGTGCGCCCGCCTTGCCCTCGCCAGGTGCGCCCGCCTTGCCCTCGCCAGGTGCGCCCGCCTTGCCCTCGCCAGGTGCGCCCGCCTTGCCCTCGCCAGGTGCGCCCGCCTTGCCCTCGCCAGGTGCGCCGGCCTTGCCCTCGCCAGGTGCGCCCGCCTTGCCCTCGCCAGGTGCGCCCGCCTTGCCCTCGCCAGGTGCGCCCGCCTTGCCCTCGCCAGGTGCGCCCGCCTTGCCCTCGCCAGGTGCGCCGACCTTGCCCTCGCCAGGTGCGCCCGCCTTGCCCTCGCCAGGTGCGCCCGCCTTGCCCTCGCCAGGTGCGCCCGCCTTGCCCTCGCCAGGTGCGCGCGCCTTGCCCTCGCCAGGTGCGCCCGCCTTGCCCTCGCCAGGTGCGCCCGCCTTGCCCTCGCCAGGTGCGCCCGCCTTGCCCTCGCCAGGTGCGCCCGCCTTGCCCTCGCCAGGTGCGCCCGCCTTGCCCTCGCCAGGTGCGCCCGCCTTGCCCTCGCCAGGTGCGCCCGCCTTGCCCTCGCCAGGTGCGCCCGCCTTGCCCTCGCCAGGTGCGCCCGCCTTGCCCTCGCCAGGTGCGCCCGCCTTGCCCTCGCCAGGTGCGCCCGCCTTGCCCTCGCCAGGTGCGCCCGCCTTGCCCTCGCCAGGTGCGCCCGCCTTGCCCTCGCCAGGTGCGCCCGCCTTGCCCTCGCCAGGTGCGCCCGCCTTGCCCTCGCCAGGTGCGCCGCGCCCGCCTTGCCCTCGCCAGGTGCGCCCGCCTTGCCCTCGCCAGGTGCGCCCGCCTTGCCCTCGCCAGGTGCGCCCGCCTTGCCCTCGCCAGGTGCGCCCGCCTTGCCCTCGCCAGGTGCGCCCGCCTTGCCCTCGCCAGGTGCGCCCGCCTTGCCCTCGCCAGGTGCGCCCGCCTTGCCCTCGCCAGGTGCGCCCGCCTTGCCCTCGCCAGGTGCGCCCGCCTTGCCCTCGCCAGGTGCGCCCGCCTTGCCCTCGCCAGGTGCGCCCGCCTTGCCCTCGCCAGGTGCGCCCGCCTTGCCCCTCGCCAGGTGCGCCCGCCTTGCCCTCGCCAGGTGCGCCCGCCTTGCCCTCGCCAGGTGCGCCCGCCTTGCCCTCGCCAGGTGCGCCCGCCTTGCCCTCGCCAGGTGCGCCGGCCTTGCCCTCGCCAGGTGCGCCCGCCTTGCCCTCGCCAGGTGCGCCCGCCTTGCCCTCGCCAGGTGCGCCCGCCTTGCCCTCGCCAGGTGCGCCCGCCTTGCCCTCGCCAGGTGCGCCGGCCTTGCCCTCGCCAGGTGCGCCCGCCTTGCCCTCGCCAGGTGCGCCCGCCTTGCCCTCGCCAGGTGCGCCCGCCTTGCCCTCGCCAGGTGCGCCCGCCTTGCCCTCGCCAGGTGCGCCCGCCTTGCCCTCGCCAGGTGCGCCCGCCTTGCCCTCGCCAGGTGCGCCCGGCCTTGCCCTCGCCAGGTGCGCCCGCCTTGCCCTCGCCAGGTGCGCCCGCCTTGCCCTCGCCAGGTGCGCCCGCCTTGCCCTCGCCAGGTGCGCCCGCCTTGCCCTCGCCAGGTGCGCCCGCCTTGCCCTCGCCAGGTGCGCCCGCCTTGCCCTCGCCAGGTGCGCCCGCCTTGCCCTCGCCAGGTGCGCCCGCCTTGCCCTCGCCAGGTGCGCCCGCCTTGCCCTCGCCAGGTGCGCCCGCCTTGCCCTCGCCAGGTGCGCCCGCCTTGCCCTCGCCAGGTGCGCCCGCCTTGCCCTCGCCAGGTGCGCCCGCCTTGCCCTCGCCAGGTGCGCCCGCCTTGCCCTCGCCAGGTGCGCCCGCCTTGCCCTCGCCAGGTGCGCCCGCCTTGCCCTCGCCAGGTGCGCCCGCCTTGCCCTCGCCAGGTGCGCCCGCCTTGCCCTCGCCAGGTGCGCCCGCCTTGCCCTCGCCAGGTGCGCCCG